GCAATTACAGTTTGCATATGATTTTTTATTTTCTATTTGAAGAAACTTGGTTATACGATGTTCGCCTTGTTCAACCATGTGAATGTAAATAAATGTGAATGGGTAAACCCCGAGGATTTGTATGTTGTTCATTGAAGATGGGAGTACAGGATAATTTTTTCTTAGAGTAGCAGGAGCATTGAGCACTGTGTCAGGATCGGGGAGATAACTCCGACTCCGAGAGATAACTCTTCCTGCTTCCGGCTCGTCGCGTTTGACAGGAACACAAACGGACGCTTAAAATAAGTGGTCTGCATACCGTTTTTGCATTCAGACGACCTTTTCATGAGAATATTCCTTCAAAACAGGGGGTACAATATGTTTAACCTATCATTCAGAAACCCCCTACCAACAGAAATGAATTTAAATTGGGACCACCACCCTCCAGAATACAATAATGTTGAGAACCCCATACCTATGGACAAATATATCGTCGGCGTTCCGCCCCTCCTAGGTGAATTTTAATTGAATAGCCCTAAGATAAGGCCTGTACCAAATCTCTAAATTTGTTACAAGTAAAATTCATTTATTTTGTTACAAGAATTATGGTAACGCTCTTGTAGAAATGAGTTTTTGATACGTCCATCAACGAAATAAGGACATTAAGAAATCACGTTGTCTGTCTCACCTGTCCGATCATATCTTGATTTACTGAGATTAACTTCAAATGCGATCCAACGTTTTGACGTGCCTAAGTTGTAAATAAGTGGTAATGTATATTGTGCTTGTATGCTTCTTGTTTATACTTTTTTTTCCATTTTACTAATACAACTACTATGGTCAACAGTTTCCTTACAAGCAGGTTTTAAATTAATAACATTGGCAGAACGGCTTTATCTAAAGTAGAATAAAAGATACATACTATGACAAACGAGACGATTTTAAATTTGAAATTATCAATTTCCCCCACTGCTGTACTTCTACTTTTGACATTTTTACCTATTATGTCTGTTTGTTTTGTTCACACATTTTTATCAATATAATGGAATTTTTTATGCGACTATCATACAAGTGAGAGGTTTAGCTAGCTATAAAACCAGGTTTAATCCACCATTTTCTACATAAAAAAATGCCTGTACCAAGTGAGGAATATGACAGTAATTTTCCATTCGTTTGATGTGTTTGAGCTTTTGCTTTTGCCATTTTATAAGGGACTTTCCGATTTGAATTTTCGTTGGAGTTCGGTATTTTTGTTAATTTACTTTTTGTTCGCATGTGTTGAGAAATAAAATGAGCACGATATAATTAGATATAATTCCATCCAAGTATTTATTTGTTAGTAAGCGTGTGTAAGATTCAAATCAACGCTTCTCGTCAGTTCAATTTGGGTACTGTGACGTTATATTCATCAATTGCATAACGATTTTTTCATTAGTTGTTAAAAATACATAATTATATGACATTTTTGTCATTGTTACGCTTAATGTGTATATCCAAGTAATAGAAAACATGGAAAAAGCACATTGTTACAAGAAAACCTCGAAATCTGTGATTGGTCAAAAGATATTATACATTGAGGTCACTGAAATGAAAACATGAATTAAGAATGTGTTACTTATCGTTCAAATACAAGACGCAATATTTCAAATTAACATATTCCAAGAATTTAAAAAAAATGTTTTAACATTATAGGTTAAAGTGTTTTCCTTTTTCTTTGGTAAAGTGTTACACTGAGTACAAAAATTGCACCCAAAAGCAAAAATAGCAGCAGCAGTCTTACAAGTTTTTTTAGAAACTTAACAATTTGTATTTTTTATGATTTGACATTATGCACGTTTTTCGACATAGCTAAATACATTTAAATATACACAAAACGTTCACAGTGAATATCAAAAAATGAAGTATCCACTGGAAAAGGTAAAATCTACTGAAAAGTCGCGCTACGACGTCCACAAAATGTCAACTTGAGCAACTCAAATATGTGACAGGCATCCATTTCTTCTTGCTCGAAGGGTAGGCATTTCTTGAACCACATGTGGAACCCATCGTGTTGCTCATGTAAGTACAAACCCATTGATAAGTCTTATTCTGTAGGTCTCATTCTGTAAAAAGAAGATGGGATAATGGTTACGACAATCGAAACATATCATCGTCATATGTGAAACAAATGTTCAATGACGATCAACCAACTCTTCAGTAACGATTTCAACTTATACACTTAGAACTCTTGATTAAATAGCTACCTTGTAAACAACAACTCTCTATCAAGGACATTATGATGGGAAATGCAAACTCTCGAATATTGTATCTACTGGAAGATTTATATCCATATGTTAATTTGTAAATGTTTATCAATTTTCCCACAGGATATAACTACGCCCTTGGAAAAAAAGCAGCACAGAGTTCAACATTGCATTCAAAATATGCTGCTTCAAAAGCAGTTGATGGAAATGAAAACACGTTTACACTAACAAGGCACGGAAACGATGCATATTGGAGTGTTGATTTGGGAAAAACAGTCAACGTGAAACAGATCAATATCATTAACAGAAAAAAATGCTGTGGTAAGGAGTCAGAAAAATATATTTGTGATAAGATTCAAAAGAATTTCACGTGAGTTAGGTAAGAGTGTTTACTTTTAAACTTTTTAAAAGCAACACTATTTTAGATTTTTTTTTATATGATAATAGGTAAATCATCAAACTATCATCTAAATTATTTTTAGTACTTTTTATGATCTTCAGAAAAAATCTTAACATTATATCATTTAATAATGAAGTGTTGATTCATCGAAAATAACACCTTCAAACAAATTAAAACCATTTACAGAAACGTTGACTGTCGAAAGAAGTCAAATGCTATAAAGTGATAAGATGCACACAGATTTTGTCAGTATATTAATAATTAAATACAATACTGTCTTGGAATAACAATTTCCTAACTGAGCCCTTGTTATAACTTTGCTAGGAAAAATAGTCACATTTAATGAGAGTTCGATTTATTTTGTTTTTGAGATGTCACTCTGTCTAATGTCAAGAACTTAGAAACTAAAAAAAGACTGAAATTTGAAAAGCTGTTTAATGGGCTAATATAGGTGTCAGACCACTAATTTAAAACCCCTATCTATTCAACCAAATTTTGCAATTTTTAGCAGCTTTCTAAATATGTTACCTTAAATTTAACTTAATAGAAAGCAGGTATATCCTGAATTGTACATGTATCAACTTTCTACATGCCCATGTTTAACCAATGTTTAAAGTCGTCTTGTTATGAAATACTACTGTTCGGAAGTCAAGTACTACTAAAAATAACTCCTGGTTTTCTGGAAATCTTAGATATAAATAATAAGATGTGTGTATCCTATGGAGCGCATTAATCTTCAATTTTTAATACAAACTCATGGACAAGTAAATTTTTGCTCAAAATGGTCTACATATATTTTTCTTTCACTAAAAGTTTCATTTCTGCAAGTTTGTTGATTAGTTTAAGTAAACAATGACATTATAAGCACTATTTTTTGTCAGGGAAGAGCTACCTTTACATATGTTTCAAATTGAAGTGAATGTATTGGTGGTCTGCCACCTATAAGGAATTACAACCTTTCTTCGATATATTGTCATATATTTTAAGTGAATGACAACGTGAAACAGATCAATATCATTAACAGAAAAAAATGCTGTGGTAAGGAGTCAGAAAAATACATTTGAGGACGATACATGTTGATTTTCAGGTCATTTGATCAACAATGAAGGTCATTCTTGCTAAGAATTGATTTCCATAAGACGATATTACTGTCTTAAATGTAGGAAAGGGGTATTAGAGCTAGCTCACTAACTTTTTTCTAAAATGTTATTTGTACGCGTCCTAAATACGCCTGAAATAGTTTCCACCGGATGTTAAATAACCAACCATAAATCAACCAATGAACAGTCATAATAACGCTTCTCTGAAAGTTCTTGACTTTTCAGTTGTTTCTTAAAAAGAAACATGGATAGAGAACTGCAAAAAAAATCGTATTTTTCATTTGTGAAAATACACGCTTCTGCTAAGGGAGAGGCATATTTGGTTCTTAAATTCCAGGTTATTCATTTCAGCAATTAAAGTATAAATTTGATGAGAGAAAAAAATGTTAAATCTCTCATGAATAGAAATTTTACAAGTTCTGACATTTAACAACAGCAATGATGTCATATATGACGACACAAATGAGCAATCGCACGATAAAACTCATAGTTTTGACTAAATTTTGGAAAATGTTTACAGATTTTGCCTTTGACAACTTTCGCCACATGCATGAACCACCGTAATTATCTGTTAGGATGTGTGTCTTGTCAATTGCCATATTTTTATGACCAATTCATTTTGGTGGACGTGTGTGGCCAGTGTTTTTCAACAGGAAATATACCTTAACTGGGTGTTAAACGGGGAAAAAAATTGTTAAGATATGATACCACAGTCTAATTTAAAGCTAAGTTTAGCCTTTTCGTTGCCCTTCCGCTTTGAAGAAGTCATAAAAGTTTTAATTCTTTTGGCCAAAAACAGACATTAAGCCCACTATTGCTTTTGTTAAATAGAGCAAATGACTTTATTCTAATGGGATCGTTCTTCTTGATAAAGACTTCTATTTTTTTTTTAAATTGTAAAATTGTCTGCTTTGTTTTCAGCCTTCATAATGAATAATGTACCTGTACAATCAAGAATCTTTTCTAGGTATATTTATTTTTCAAATAAAACATAGGAAAAATCAACTATATTATAACCTGGTAATCGAATACAGCTTTTCAGAATCTGGTATCAATTTTCCTGTTGATGAACAATGGGATGAATATACTTTACGAAAAATAAAAGAAAATTGGTTTTGAAGTAAAATTTGTTCGATACTGAAATGTGTTTCATTACAAAGAGTGTGCAAGCTATATTGAATGCAATCGGTGATATGATGATTGGCACAGACAGATTGAAGTCTTAGAATTCCATTTTTGAACAATTGATATAGACACTTGATATTGATATCTTTTCAGGCAATCGGCTGAGGAATATAGCGGTTAGAGTTGGACAAAATCGTCATCAGATGAAACTTTGTAGTAATTTCAAAGGACCTGGTAAGGCTGGACAAGTAATAATGTTAACATGCAAGAGCCCAATCTCAGGCCGCCATGTGAAACTTTTGAGAAGCGGTAAAGGTTATCTCAGTTTGGCAGAAGTTCAAGTGATAGGCCATACAGGTAAACATTTAGATATATTTTTTTTAAACTAGCTTCTTTCTGGTTGTATGCTTGTACTGAATTTCGTTTCTATTAAAAAAACTGTCAGTTTAAACAAAAAACAGAAAATCCTATAATTTTGCTGTTAATTTTTTTTATAAAAAAAACATACGTCTGTAGATTCTAAGCTAAATATTGATCTTTGCATCGTTGAATAGTTTTATGTATAAACAATATCAATAAGAAGATGTGGTATGATTGTCAAAGAAACAATTTCCGCGACAGACCAAAGGACATACAGATGGGTAAAGTCCTTACCTGTTCGTCTAGTTAACTTGATGACCAGACTTTATGACTGCTGGAAGTTAACTTGGGACAGAAAAAAAACAGACATTTAGCGGTTACAGGATTTATGACTGCTCCGATCGGTTCTTGGACAGAATTCATGTTAACTTAAAAAGAAGACTTGATCTGGACTGCTCTGTCGAACCAAGCCTGTTCTTATAAAAGTTAACTTTGGTCTGGTCTGCTCCAAGATAAAGTTAACATGATATAAAGTTAACTAGTAAACAGGAATGCTTTGATTGATGAATATCATTAAAATATCATCACACTCATGTATCAACAAATTTAGTAAAAGATATATATCCTTAGGACCGATCAAAAATCAGACCTGACCCAAAACTGGTCTATCAAATAGCAGTCTTGTCTACAGGACAGATTAACAGGTCTGATCTGGTCATGTCCTGTCCACAGGTCTGGTCAAACTGACGAGGGTCTGCAGCAAACCCAAAATTGACGACGTAGGTCTGTTGTGGTAAGGATAAAGTTAACTTGAAGGTCTGCTAAAATTTTCTTAAGTTAACTTTAGTCATAAGGACTGCTCTAAGTTATCTTTTGATAAGGTTAAGACTGCACCCATATGTAGAAGATAACAACTACGTGCCTCCGTACGGCCTTCAACAATGAGCAAAAGCAATACCGCATAGTAAGCTATAATAGGCCCCGAAATGACAAAGGTATAACAATTTAAACGAGAAAACTAATGGCCTCATGTATGTACAAAACAGTGGAAGAAAAACAAATATGATATATGGCAAACAAACGACAACCAATGAATTACAGGGTCCTGGCTTGGGACAGGGACATACAGAATGTTGCGGGGTTAAACACATGTTCGTTGGCTCCAAACCGTTCCTCTAACCTGGAACAGTGGTGTAACAACACAAAATAACAACAAACTATAAAAATCAGTTTAAAAGGACTTAAAGTCATCAGATCTATACAAAGAACAAAAAACAAAAAAAAACAGAAACAGAAAATAAAAAAATGTAAACCTGCAAATACTCAAAGTTACTGAAACGAGTTCCAAGCCAATATCAACTAATGAAAAATTATGTTTCTAATACTAAAATATTAATCAGTTAACATTCAACTTCTAATGTATATAGTATTAAGACGTCATTTACAGTCAAGGAAAATATAGTGTAGCGGGTCAATGGAGAAAAGGGCAGAAACACAAATACACCGAAACCTCTAAATATATAAACCCAAACGAAAACCTAAACTACCTAATTCCCTATCTAGATCTAAAACGAAGGACAACCGACCTCTTTTTTTCGAGAAGTGATTCCTATGTGTCTTAAGATCAAGCCTAAACTCCTATTCGATTATTAATAGTGAACGTGGAGGGTCTTCTTGAGACTGATATCACAAACTTATACCAAACAATTCAGAAGTGGCAAATACTTTATTTTGATACATATATATATTATTACAACACATAACAGTAGCAAATATTTGAGATCAAAATTACACAATGTAGTCAAGCTCAAGACCAATAAAAACAACTTGCAAATTTATCAATACTAAGTACATCTTAAGTGAATTTCTAGACAGTTGCCTAGGGTATCTTTCAAAAGATTGATTCAAATACTATATAAATACTTATAAAGAGTAAAACAATATCTGCTATGATTTTCTCTCATTTTTTGAAAATACGAGCAGATATGGGACAAAATATTGGATACTCATTTATCAAAAGTACATCCGACCTCACGGGACATAATATTAGATATTCATGTATTAAAAGTACATCTTACCTCACACTAATTATAGTAAGATTTAATTTAATAAAATATGATGTGCTATGAAATGAAGAGGAAAATTTACTTCAGACAGTGTAATAGCTTCCACTGGCTAAAAACTAGTGTCTAAAATTGTCCAAACTTGATTATTACAAGATTTCCTGAACTGGTAGTTCAATGATTCAGTGAAAGCTTTGATATAAGTTTTAGTAGAGACTTTTTATTAGTTTCCTCTGACTAAAAACGTATGTCTCATCATTTGCCAAACTTGACCTATACAATAAAATGTGAAATTCAGTAAAGTTAATAGAAATCAAGTAAAATTCTATTATACAATCCTTTGTTGAACCTGTGTTTTAGCTCCCTTTGACTAAAAAAGATTGTCTCAAATTGTAACCAAAAGAAGTTGACAAAAGTCTTGACACATACCACACTTTTCTTTTATTTACACATCTCAAGCGTTTTGACTCAAAAGTTTTGTTCCATTGTCAAGAGACTTTATAAGATTTTTTTATTAAAATGTGTAACATTAGAGATTCCTTGTTGAACAAATTTATTTATATTTGGATATATATTATTATTTTAATCGTATTGATTCGATTTTTTACTTCAGGTGAAAATGAAAAACGACCTACAAAACCAGAAGGTAAGAAACATGTATTTATGAAAACAACCATGTATTAACGCCATTCTCTTGTGTATGTTACTACATGATGCATGGATGAATGGAACTGAAGTATTGATTTGAAAAATATAGATACATAACATTAAATAATCCTTTCTATAACAAAGTATAAGAATTGAAAACGAAAAATTATAAAGGGAATCACAAATTCTAAAAATGAATCTATATTAACGCGTATTCGGTTTAACGTACAATGACCTATAGTTGTTAACTTCTATGTCCTTTGGTCTCTGGTGGAGAGTTGTCTCATTGGAAATCCAACCACAATTTTTTATTTTTATATAAACGTGTGTGTCGGAATAAAAGTAAGTATAACCTAAATGACATATTTTTGTTCGTCTGCTCATTTGTGCGACTCAAAATGAGGAAACATGCTATTGACAAATCTGCATGAATGTAAACTTGAAAACTAATACATGTATATTGTACATGCGTTAAAAACTGAAATGAGCAAAAAGAAATAAATAGAAAATACATTAAAGTTTTGTTCCATAGTCAAGAGACTTTTGTAAGATTTGATTTATTAAAATGTGTAACATTACAGATTCATCGTTGAACACATTTATTTATATTTGTATACATTATTATCATCATCGCAATGGTTCGACTCTTTATTTCAGGGGGAAATAAAAAACCTGTCAAACCAGAAGGTAAGATACATGTATTTATCAAAACAAATGGGTTTTTTTTTTTTGTAGGCCAGCTAACGTGTTAAGCGTTTTAAACAAGACATCATTTGTTTAGTTTTTAAAAGAAATTAAAAAATCAAAAACGGTTCGATATCGAAATGTTTTAAAATACATAAAAAGACAGATCTAGCAACAAAAAAGACTTTAATGCATATCGATTAAGAAAAATACCTTTATTTTGATACGTTCATCAACGAAAAAGAACATTAAGAAACCTATAACGTTAAAAGTTTTTACAATTTACCTTGGAATATGTGATATTTGAAATATTGCGTCCAGTATTTAAACGATAACTAACATATTCTTAGTTCATGTTTTCATTTCAGTGAAAACTACTATATTGTACATGCGTTAAAAAATTGAAATGAGCAAAAAGAGATAAATAGAAAATACACAAAAGTTTTGTTCCATTGTCGAGATACATTTGTAAGATTTTTTTAATATTAAAATGTGTAACATTACATCTTCATTGTTGAGCAAATTTATTTATATCTGTATAGATTATTTTTATAATCGCAAAGATTCGATTCTTGGAACCCCCTTTTTTGCTGAAACCAGTGGTTGTCGTTGTTGTAAATTATTTTTTAAGTGTTGTACATCAATCGGGCCGTTAGTTTTCTCGTTTGAATTGTTTGAATTTATATTTGTAATTTTGGGAACTTATATAAATGATTATGCGGTTTGGGTTTCGCTCGTTGTTGAAGGCTGTACGGTGATCTAAAAATCTAAATTGTTTACGTTGTTTTGTCCAAGGTGGAGAGTTGCATTATTGGCAAGCATACCACATCTTCTTACTTTTATTCGTTTAATGATGTAGATCTTCATTAAGCCTAAATAACAAATAATTTTGAAAATGCTCTATTTATAACTATACAACTTTTAATTCTAAATACTTATGTTTATCTAACATAAAATTATTATCAGCGAAGACATATACACACTAAGTCTAAATTCGTCTAAAAACAGAGACATGTGTATATGTAAAAGTGTTTGTTTATGTAAAAAAACCTATGAATATCTACCACCACTGTTGCCAGCTTTAGAGATCGGCTAACACCAGTTGTTCCTCGAGCTTTGAATAAACAAATTCAAACCAAAACATGTACATAAAACGGTAATGTTTAATCACAATCTGTATATATACAAACACTTAAATTGTTATTTCATATTTTGATGAATTTGATTAAATCTATGCCAGTCACGCATGCGCAGCAACATGTATTCTTCCATATTGTGACCTTATTTGACCTAAAAGAAAAAGAAGAAGAAGAAGAAGTCTGGAATTCCCGCTACTTTTCGACGGTCTAAAGATTATAGTGTGTTTTCGATCTAGGTGTTTTCGTTGAAGTCCGCGTTCAAAATCCAAAGCATTTCATTAGTCGGTAGATTTGCAATCTTTCAATTCAGGTCTTCTCATAGGGGTCCGCGTTCATGTTTCAATATGATAGACTATATTGTAAGTTTTCTATCCGAGTTAACAAAATAAAATTTGAGCTATATAATAGTGCCTCATTTTTAAGGGATTAAAATTTTATAAAATAAATTTATCTATTTCTCCATATACATTTTTTGTTAAAATACCCCTTTTCACCTTTTTTTGTCTTTTGGAAAATGTTTTTTTTTTGTGAATTATTTAGACCCCTATATCAAGAATTTTGTTTTGCATGTATACGCATGAAAATTTCGGTTTTTATCCAACGTAATCCTAGGTTTGAACGTTGTTTTCAATTTAGACTTTTAAAATATGTAATATGGTTCGTCAGTAGTTATATTTATGACAACTTATAATTAATGGTAGATGTGTAAATATTGACACCTGTGTGTATGGGTTAATATTATAGATTAACTGGTAGAATATTCTGATCAGGAAAGAAATTACAAACTAAAAATGGTCGGGTTGTTGTCTCTTTGACACATTCCCCATTTCCATTCTCAATTTTAAAGTCTGTTTAAGGAATATGTACAAATAAATGTTAAGTGGCAAGTAGTACCGATACGCATGTCTTCATAATACAACTCTCGCATTACCATGTCTTGCATTTTTTTTTTATATTTCGAAACTGTCTCTTTTGTGAATTTATTCAACAACAAACTTTTTTCATACAAGATTTGTTTTTAGAACTGAATGTCGCATTTTGTTCTTATGTTGAAAAGAAACCAACAAATGTTTTGTTTTAAAAGATCCTGACCCTCTCCCCCTCCCCCTCTTCAACAAAAAAAGAAAGAAAGATTGGATTGGCATTGTCTAGTATATAATTTTAAATAAAATGCTCCTGTATTTTTATGAGAAATACTTTATAACACAATCTGGGACTTGTACATCTATTAGTTCAGGCATATGCATACAGTAATGCATGTATACGCATGAGTTTCTCGCTACATTGATTACCCATCGGTGGCCTTCGGCTGTTGTCTGCTCTATGGTCGGGTTGTTGTCCCTTTGACACATTCCCCATTTCCATTCTCAATTTTAGTTATATACGACGGTATATTTTTCCTTTTCCAAATACCATGTACATGTACATATATGAGGCTATGAAAGGATCATCATTTATGTGTAAATAAATGGGGTTTATAGAAATAAAGTAATGATATAAGCACTTCAGATAACAGAATAAAGAGATGAAAATATAAAGAATAGATTAATTGATTTATGGTTGCTTAACGCCCAGTGACAAATAGTTCATGCATGGTTAGGACGAATAAAATCGGCATAATAATAAAGAATAGAGTGGAATGGTGAATTTTTTAATGACATAGAAGTATTGAAACTATTATCTGACACTCTTCATCTATAACCAACTACACTCGCATATATACATCTCTAAATTAAATATATAATTTCGTTTACTGGTGACTCTCAACCCCGGACATTAAGGTTTTGGAACCGCCCCTGCTTCTTGTCATCTATTTTAACATCTTTTTCATGATATTTTATATGAATATTGCTAAATACAAACAAAAAAAAGTGTGCTAACTATTCTACAATTATCTACTTCTTCATTTCTAGTAAAGCTGTATGTTGGTTTGGAGACAGATAAAAATTACCATGTGTTGGTTTATATTTCGGTGTATAAAAATGTTTAATAATGATATATAGTGACATGTGTAATAGGTTATATATAGTGTATATATCCTGGGACTATTATACTAACAGTATAGTAGTCCCATATACAGACCTTCTAAAATTATAACTGACCATTTTGCCGTGCGTTCATCGTGTATCGAGCGTGTATCGTGCGTGTACCAACCTTGCGCTCATTATTCTTCATTCCGTGTGTTTTCCGTGTAACGTGCGTGCATCGTTCATTCATTCATAACCGTGTACCGTGCGCTCATCAATCATTCATTCTTAATTAACCGTGTTACGTGCGTGACCTCAGAATGTGTATTGCAGTCGCATTCCAATGCGAACTAACGATACTTTTATACATTCTGTTTGTTTTCAAACATTCTTTAGAGTAATACGAATTAAACCAATTTTCTGATAACAAACAAACATGAACAGCAGCATTTTTTACGACGTAAATCATCGATTTCAAAACTTGAATGTTTACATGTGTAATAAAATCAATCCTGTCGATTTCAGCATGCATGTTAAGTGAATGTCAAATTCAGTTCAAAATTCTGAAGCGTAGGACAAATCGTACTCTTCTGTTTCAAATTGAACAGTGTTTTAATATTTGTTTTTACTGTTGAAATTAAATGTTATGTTAAAATAGATAACTATTCACCTTGGGTGATGTATTAATGTTGATCATTCGATTTTTTTTTTTTTTTGCGAACCCGTCTTCAGCTGAATGTGTGATTATAATATTACTACGCGAGCATCAAAGGATTTTAAATCGAAAATAAATGCAAAAAATGTGAGTTTTTGTGTCTTTCAAAGCACAAACAATATACAGAATCAATTGCATGATAAAGACAATAACTGTTTAGTGCCTTTAAATATCAGCTGTATTTGTACTCGGCTCGAAACAGGAGTAATAGCTTGCCAAAGCTCGCATTACACCTGTTTCTTAGCCTCGTACAAATACAGCTGATATTTAAAGACACTAAAAAGTTATTGTCTATATAAGGATACATGTTCTACGTACAAAGAATAACATTCATGATGACATTTCTACAATAGAAAGGCTAAAATTGAAATTTCTGTTGAACTGAGCGAAATGGGGAAACAAATATACTGTTGACCAATTGTTATTTGTTAAAAATATTCTGTCTATTAAAAACAGAAGAGCTTTTGCAAGATTTAGATGTGGGGTAGCTCCACTGAAAATAGAAACTGGAAGGTATGAAAAAACAGAAGTCCACGAGATGACATGTTGTGGAGCTATACTATTGAAGATGAACTTCATGTCTTTTTAAAATGCTCGTTATAGACATATCATGATACATTAAGCTAAACATTTTAACTTATAAATATCAGATAGCGAAAAATTCATATTTTTATTTAACAACGACAATGTTGCTGCAATAGTTGCCAAAAACATCAACAATATTTTATTGAAAAGAAACGGCATTTTATTTCACTAGTTCTTAAAGAAAAAGATGTTTTATTTTCATTTAGTATATGGACAATGTAAATTTTAAATGTAAATGAGTAAAAATGTGTTTATATTTATATATTGTGTCTCAAAAGTCTCTCATTTATCTAATGAAAGATTGGTGCATACAATGCAAATGTTTTTCATGATTTGTTTATTTCTGTGAATCTCATTTTATGTTTGTACGTGGTGAGACTTTAATAACATATTATATCTAAAAATATCAACTTTACTTAAATTTATACATGAGTCAGAAAATTAAAACCAACAGAGTCAGAATTAAATTTTAAAGCTGACAAATGTTTTACCCTCAGCGGGCATTCAATACCATTGACATACTACAGCAAAATCTTGATATACATGCACATATATTTTGGACATCTTATCAGTAATTTCTCTAATATTGAACTATGC